CCTCGCGTCCCTTGAGGTGCTCTTGAGAGAGTCTGAGGATAGCCAGAGCTGCCAGAGGGACTAGTCACACGGTCCTCCGCCAGCACCTTCCCTGCCCGGCAGGGCAGCTCTGTGGGAAGCCAAATGACAATGCCGGTGCCAATTTACGAATTTACAACGAGAAATAGAACTACCCAGGGGACCAGACTCTCGGGGCCTCCTGCCTGCAGCCGTCGCCCACGTAGGCGAGCTTCGGAGCGAAGTTGCTGGAAAGTGTTGAGGAAGAGAGAGGCAGAACCCTTCAGGAGAGCTGGTTGGGGGCGGGGGTGTTTAATGGCATGGGGTTAGTCCAGCCTGTGCCTCCCTGGGACCAGCAGGGCAGCAGGCCAGGGGGTGGGGTCCCTCCCTCCTGCACTGTGCCAGCTCGTCTTATTTTGTGCTTTCTTGCCCACCCAACCTCTTCATGCCACCCCCTTACCTTTTCCATTCTTTAGCTGGGTAAAGGAGCCCTGGCGGCCCAGTGGTTAAGGGCTCAGGCCGCTAACCAAAATGTCGGCAGTTCAAATCCACCAGCTGCTCCTTGGAGACCCTGTGAGCCAGTTCTCCTCTGTCCTGTATGGTCGCTATAAGTTGGAATCAGCTCGACGGCAATGGGTTTTTTTTGGGTTAGCTGGGTTAAACCAATTCAACAGGTTATTCGGCCCTGGCAGCCATCCTGTCTCTTTAAAGACTCGCCAAGTCTTTGCTCTGATTCCCACGAGCTGATCTCAGTTGCACCTTCGGGGCAGTCCTTGTTGCTTGTCTCTGAGTTCGGGCGGGCTGTTGTGGTCCAGCACGCACAGCGAAGGCCCCACACAAAGGAGAAGTGAGAATGGCAGTGAGAAGCACAGGAGACAACAGTCTCCCGCCCTCAGGGATCAATTGCTCGGAGACTTGGCTTGGTTGGTTGGTTGGTTTCACCAGGCAGTCTCGGAGGTGCGCTTTCTCACCGTGTTTGCTTGTCCCCGTGTAGAGAACGCTGTTGATGTGCTGGCCGCCAGAGGGAATGGAGCTGAGTCCTCTCTCCCGAGTGGTATGTTCTTTAAAAGCCCAGGATGGAATGAGGGCCACCCAAATAGGTGATGGGGAAAGGACGTTTGTCACAGGGAGTTGTAAGAGGGCTTCACCTCCTGGTCCTGTTGACTCTGAATTGCAAACGGGGGCCCAGCCTGGGCCGCCAGCTTCTAGCTCCAGCGTCCCTACATTGGCCAGCAGACAGGTGGGCCTTGGGAGACTGCAGTGCTTCCTCATGGGGTCAGGGGATTTTGGTGGTTGCTGATGCCTGTGGCTCAGGCCCCTCCCTTGCTCTTTCCGGGTGGTCTTGGCCTTGGGTCCCCCGCCTCTGCCCTCTTTGCTGTCTTCACCGCCCCCACCCCCTTGCCTGCTCTTCCTCCTTTGCTTCCTGTCATCTTTGCTTCTCCCTCCCTGTCCTCTGCCACCTGCCCCCACTCTCACCCTGGTGCTTGATCTGGAGCTTTGTGTCAGCTTGCTTTGTAGTGCTGGCAGCAGCTGCCCCATCCCTCCTTTTTGTTTAAAGGACTCGGCACCAGGAGCCTGGGTGAGTGGCCCAGATGCGCTGGCAAGGAGCAAAGTGCACTGTGGGTAGCCAGCTTCGCTTTCCCGAAGGCCGGTTCCCCTCGACAGCAGGCTCAGCTGGACAAGACAGTGGAGGGAGGGAGGGAGCGAGCTGCCCGGCCCCTCCCGGCCCAGGGACGGCCCTTCCCTAGGCTGCCAGCGACCTGGCTCTAACCCTTTGACCGGGCCCCTCGTACTTACACGAGGCGAGCGAGCATTTCCATTCTGTTCCTTCGGGCCAAAAGACTGCCTGCCGGGGGTTCCGGCTTTGCTAGACCAGGAATCCTGTGACTGTCCCAGCCATTGCATCACCTGGCTTCGCTGTTTGTCCCCTAGCTGGCCTCTCCACGGTCACCCAGAGTCCCAGGGCACCTGCATGATAACTCAGGTTTCCAGCCTGTTTCAGCAGAAAGTGTCCCCAGGACAGCGAGGGCCTCCTTTGTGTCAGAGAGCGTGTAACAAGACTCGTCCTCGTCGCCCCAGAAATGTGGCTGGAGTTGGTCCCCAGAGTAGCCTATGAGTCCTTCATGACTGGGAGGTGACAGAGCAAAGCTGCCATGGGAGGGGACTCCCCACCCTTGTTCAGAGATTCCAGAAGTCCATGCTCCCCTACTGGGCCCTTCTAGACTCAGCCCCAGCTCGGCCATGCGCCTATGTCTGTCCCAGCCTCTCTGACACTGACGTTTGTGTTTCAGTTCCCAGAAGGCAGGATTCCAATGACCTCTCCAGCGATGTTTTTGACTATGAAGGTACAACTTCATAAAAATATTTCTACATGGGGCGAAATGTATTTTCTTACTTAGTTGGGAATGGAGACACCCTTGAGGATTTCTATGAAGGACATGCCAGTAGGGCTTCCTGACCTTTCTCATGTTGGGGCCCCCAGGGTGGAGGAGGCAGGAGGGGCCGCAGCATGCAGGCGGGGAAGTTTTGCTTTCAAGAGGCAAGATGGAGTACAGGTCCTGGAATGTACCCTGCAGCTCTGCCTCTCACCAGCTGCGTGGCTGTGAGTGAATCACTGTGCCTCTGCCTCAGACTCCCTGCGTGTGAAAGGAGGTGCTAGGACAGGTCTCTCAGAGACAAGTCAGTATGGGTAAAGCACGGGGCCCAGTGTATAGCGTAGAGCAGTCTCCACACAACATGGTCTTGACTCCAGTGAAGATACCTAGGAATGTGGAGGAGAGTGTCACATAGGCCAGGCTGGCCACATTGGTACTGTCTCTCTACCCATCAGTAGCCATACGACTACTTAGGAGCATTCTCCCTCAGCTTCACTTCTCCCTGACCCTGCTAACTTGCACCCCTTGGGCTGTCTTGCTCCCAGAATACTGTACTGCCAAGGCGGTCACTGGGCCTTGCCGCGCAGCCTTCCCACGCTGGTACTTTAATACCGAGAAGAACTCCTGCGATAACTTCATCTACGGAGGGTGTCGGGGCAATAAGAACAGCTATCAGTCCAAGGAGGAATGCATGCAGCACTGCCTGGGTGAGTCAGCCAGACTTCTGAATCCACGAAACGCTGGCGGATGATGGGCTGTCCTCTGAGGACGCTCATCCAATCCCCATCCCCAAAACAAGGGCCTTTAAAGTGTGATTTGGAATTGGAACCCGCATCCATTGCTGGTGGGAATGCAAAATGGTGGAGCTGCTGTGGGAAGCAGTCTGGCGGTTCCTCAACAGGTTAAACACAGAACTACCATGTGACCCAGCAATTCCACTCCTAGGTATATACCCAGAGACCTGAAGGCAGCAGCACAAACAGACACAGGTACACCAGTGTTCATCGTAGCACTTGTCACGATAGCCAAGAGGTGGAAACAGCCCAAATGCCCATCCACAGCGGAGTGGATAAACCAAATGGGTACATACATACAGTGGAGTACTACTCAGCCGTGGGGAGAAATGAAGTCCTGATCCATGCGACAACATGGGTGGACCTTGAAGACTTTATTCTCGGTGAAATAAGTCAATCAAAGGACAAATATTGTATGATCTCACTTATATGAAATAACAAAAACAGGCAAATGTATACAGACCAGTTTATTAGTGGTAACCAGGGGCAAGAGTGGGAGCCATTGCTTAGGAAGCAGTGAGTTTCTGGAAAGCAGCCTGGGCCTCGAGGGCTGGTGGGGTGGAGTTGGAGAGGGGATGGCCGGTCTGAAATTCTGCAGCCAAGTGGAGGACAGGGAGCCGGGCAGCTGCCACAGTGGGTCACATTCCTTAGATGGAGCCCTGCCTGAAAAAAAAGCGCCTGAACTCACTAGTGGGGCAAATTTAGTGATGGGAAATTTGGCAACAACTATGGGTGATGGTTACTTGACATGATTAATGTAATGATATCACTAACTTGTACACCTAAAAAATGTTGAATTGGCAAGTAATGTGCTTCATATGTATATATGTACATAAAAAAAAAAAATAAATAAAAAAAAAAACCCGTTCCCGTTGAGTCTATTCCAACTCAGTGACCACATATGATAGAGTAGAACTGCCCCATAGGGTTTACAAGGAGCTGCTGCTGGATTCGAACTGCCGACCTTTGGGTTAGCAGCCAAGCTCTTAACCACTGGGCCACCAGGGCTTCATATGTATGTATGTATTTAATAATTTATTTTTGTTGTTGAGGATATACACAGCAGAACATCCACCAATTCAGCAGTTTCTACGTGTACAATTCAGTGGTATTGATTACGTTCTTGGAGTTGAACAACCATTCTCACCCTCCTTTTCCAGGCTGTTCCTCCCCCATTAACATAAACTCAACTGCCCCCTAAGGTTCCTGTCTAATCTTTCCAGTTGCTGTCCTCAGTTCGATCCCATGTAGGTAGATCTTAAAAAAGCACAATGCCCAAGGCAGACATTCTTTACTAGTTAAGTTAAACTGTTTGGTTTTAAGAAGACTTCAGGAGATATTTTTGGTTTAGGTTTAAAGATTATCTCAGGGCAGTAGTTTCAGGGGCTCGTCCAGCCTCCATGGCTCCAGAAATTCTGGAGCCTACGAGAATTTAAAATGCTGCTCTGCATTTTTCTCTTTTTGATCAGGATTCTTCTACAGAGCCTTTGATCAAAATGTTCAGTAATGGTAGCTGGGCACCATCTAGTTCTTCTGGTCTCATGGCCAAGGAGGCAGTTGCTCATGGAGGCAGTTAGCCACACATTCTATTTCCTCTTCCTGTTTCTGATTCTCCTTCCTCTGTTGCTTGTGTTATATACATTTTTACAACAATTTTAAAGAACTGGGATTTGGGCCCCCTCCTCACCATCCCAGCTCCCTAGAGGGGAAGGGGCAGGCTTTGGCTCTGGCTGTTGGGCATATGTGCCTTAAGCCTGTACCAGCGTGGCAAGGCCTTCAGGCCCTCAGAAGAGCTGGAAGAAGTCCTCAGACAGAGCTCCCCACGAAGGCCCCAAGGCTGTGGGAGCTCCTCAGTTGGTGGCACCCCTGCGGGGAGCAGGAGGACCAGGAACTGACTCAGAGTGTGTGTTCTCTTCCAGGCAAGCAGTCGTACCCAGTCCTGTCCCACAGCTCTAAAGGTAAGCAGCCTCTTGCCCTCCGCCTGCCGCCTGCTTCCCTGACTGAGCCCAACTTTGCTCAGCTGTGTGTTTGCGGGCTCACGCTGTCTTGCACACGTTCCTTCACTGTAAACAACTTTTTAGTAGAAAGTCATGTTTCTGCACGAGAATGGCCAGGCAGCTTGGAACATGTGGTGGATGGTCCGACCCAGCATCAGATGTACACAGATGTTATCTCACCGGGTCTGGGAGTGAGTCAGTAACTCACGAGGCAGTCTCCGCCTAGGCAGCCAGGGGTGACCAGGAACGCACTCCTTCCCATGGGCCTGTGGGGCTCTGCTGCTGTGGGTGTAAAGAGTAGGCCCTGGGTGATAGGAAGGAAGGAAGTCAGAGCCCTTGCTGTGTCCCGGGCAGTGTGAGTTTGGGGCCAGTGCTATTTCCCCAAGCAGCCTGGTGTGACAAGGAGGCTGGGTGTCCTCTCCTTCCTTTATTCCCGGGCCTGCTGGTGTTTGCACAAAGAACCTGCCACACTGGTTTGGCCTCTTTGAGCCTGCTTCCCTGGCCTGGGTGTCTGATCTGTTCAAGAAGGGGAGCAAAGCTGGAGCCTGGCTGGCCAGGCTTGGGCTAGAAAGCAGCCTGGGCCTCGAGGGCTGGTGGGGTGGAGTTGGAGAGGGGATGGCCGGTCTGAAATTCTTCAGTCGAGTGGAGAACAGGGAGCCGGGCAGCTGCCACAGCGGGTCGTGTTCCTTAGATGGAGCCCTGCCTGAAAAAAAAGCACCTAAACTCACCAGTGGGGCAACCACTATTACGTTTACCTAGACAATTACAGCCCCGAGGATCCCCTCCCGCCGCCGCTCCCAGTATGCCGTGGCCTCCACCCTTACCTCATTCCACAGGCAGCTACCTCAGCCGCCCCAGCCATCTGGAGGGTCACCTCTTTCTCTATTGCTGGGGTGCGTGCGTGCGTGCCTGAGTGCGTGCGTGCATGCATGCCTGCCTGCCTGCCCGCCCGCCCACACAAAACCTCAGTGTTTTATGTTTACACACACACCAAAGGCATGTAGTTTTTACACCCGCCTGTGTATGGAGCCCCTGGTGGCTCAGTGGTTAAGAGCTCGGCTGCTCACCAAAAGGTTGGCCGGTTCAAATCCACCAGGCCCTCCTTGGAAACCCTATGGGGCAGTTCCCCTCTGTCCTGTAGGGTTGCTGTGAGTCAGAACTGACTCGATGGCAGCGGGTTTGTTCGTTTGTTTTTTAATGGGTGCATCTTTTGGTTTGGGACTCCTGTACAGGCTGCCCCTGAGAGGTAGGGAAATACAGAATTTAAGTATTTTTTTGTTCAAAAAGAAGAAACACAAGCACCCACTCTTTGTGCACTTAACACAACACCTCTTTCCAAGAACCCCCTAAGGTAGGGGATCTCCCAGCAGTTCTCCCAACCCTTCTGGGTCAGGGTGGGAGGCGTCTGGCCCGAGGGCGGCTGGTGCTGACCCTGCGCCCACTCGGACCTCCGGGTCCTTGTGAGCTGCTGTGCTGCCCCGCTCTGCTGCAGCGCCCCCTCTGGCCGGTCCTGAGGCCTCTCTTCTCTCCCACAGTTGTGGTCCTGGCGGGGCTGTTCATGATGGTCCTGCTCCTCTGCCTGGGAGCCTCTGTGGTCTGCCTGGTCAGAGTGGCCCGGAGGAGCCAGGAGGACACCCTCCGCACCGTCTGGAGCTCCGAGGACGACAAGGAGCACCTGGTGAAGAACACGTACACCCTGTGAACACCCGTTGCCTCCCCTGTTGATAGAGAGTGCAGGGCAGCGGAGGGGAGACGGGGCAATTGCAGAACACTTGTGCGCATTTCTAAAATAGAGGACTGACTTGTGCTCGTGACACCCATAGGGCTTTGGGTCGTTTTGTTTCTCCAGAAGTAAGAAGGCCGCTTCTGCCATCGTGGGGCGGGTGTGCTTTGGAAATCCTCTGAGGGTAGGGCTTTGTGATTCACGTTGCAGACC